TCACAGGAAATGGTGATTTAAACTGTGGACACCTGGGCCTGCCCTCCAGCGATGTCTGTGCAGGAGAACGTCCGTGCAATGATGCAATGAGAGAGGACTCAGTTGCAGAGGAGCGAGAGCACCTCAAAGGCAGGTCCTAGAAGCAGCAGGGCTGAGCTGTGAGGTCCCTCCTCCTCATTCTTTTTTGGCCGTGGGCATCTGTGTCCTCCTCAGGGTTTTGTATCCTCTTTGTCAAGAATAAAGTGGGCAAAGGTCCTGAGGTCAACGCAACCTCTGGGACTCAGTCCTAAAGGAAGCAAACTGTCAGGGAGCCAGAAACCTAACCTGTTAGCAACATTTGATGTCCTCCGAAGTGTTCAGACCAAGCTCACAGCTTTACACGTGAGCACACACGTCCCAGAGCAGCTTCTCTGGCTGGACCTCCACCTCCTTTAGAACTGTCAAACCCACAGCTGCCCCCCAAGAAAAGCACACACCACTTACATGAGGAATCTATAGAGAAGTCAAATCAGAGATATAGGAAGTAGAATGGGTTTGCCAGGGGCTGCGGGGAGGGGGACTGGAGAGTTACTGTTGAGCAGGGACAGTGTTTCTGTTTTGCAAGATGAAAGGAATTCTGCAGATGGATGGGGCGATGGTTGCACAACAATGTGAATGTGCCCAATGCCAGAGCTGTGTTCTTAAAAATGGTTAAAATGGTCAATTCTGTTACATATATTTTACCATAATTAGAAACAAACAAGCCCTAGACCATCTTTTTGCCCGCTTCCAGGAGGGAAAAGGAAGAGAACATGAAAGGAAGGCCCTAAAGCTTCACCGCCCTGTGTGCTCTGCCTAGAACCTGGGGCCTGCTGCCCCTCGGGACTCGGTGCTTTTCCGGGAAAGCCTCCTACAGTGGCCGCTGGGTTCTGAAGATGTCAGCACCTCAGCCTTGCATCAGTCCCCAGAAGCTCAGAAAGAAGTGGCAGAGTGCAACACAGTAACCGGGTGGGGGGGGGGGGCGCTGCAGGAGGAGAAACAACAGCAGAGGACAGAGGCCACAGCCCGGGCCCCAGGCTCCTCCCTCTGCCCGCTGCCAGGGCTCCAGAGGCCCCGCGAGGCCGCTCGGGCTCCCGCTCGTCTGTGAGGCTGCCCTGGGCCCGCTGCGCCTCAGCTTGCATTTGGGAAATTTCTTTTCCTTTTTTGGGAAAATTGCCTCTCCTCCACACCCACCAGTTACACAGTACGTGGGTGTAGCAAGAAGAAAACTTCCCAAAAAAGCAAAAGTGATTCCCAAACGTTAGTCCTAACTCAGAGCCTTGTGGAAGGGAAAGGCAACAATCTGCTCCTGGAAGGCCCAAGCCAAGCACAGGGGGCTCTCCAAGCAGCCCCCTCCTCTTAGGTCTCCTGACAACCACACCAACTGTTTTGTGCACTTATTGGTCCTAGTGAAGGGGCCCACACAGTGTCTCCCCCTTGGTTCTCTGGAGCCCTCCTGCTGAGGAACTGTGGAGAGATGCACACTCACCACACCCCTAATCCCTCTCCCAGGAGCACTCCAGCTCCTACCGTCTCAGGTCCAGGCCAAAAGCAGAAATTCTGCAACAATGCATTTACAAGGATGGTTAATTCAACTGAACAAATATTTACTGGGTCTCTGCCATCTAAGCCCCAGGCCAGACAATGCAGAAAGATACTAAAAATTATCAGGAGGCCCAAGAATGGAAAAATAAAAAGCCACAACTAGTTGGTAAGATAACAGTTTAAACAAGTTTAAAAAAATAGTAATATTGTGTAAAAGTGAAGTGAAAGAGACAGTGACTAAGGGTTAAGGGAAAAGTCAGGCCATAGAGCGCTACAAAAGCCCTTAGGTGCAGGTTAGCTAGGGAGATCCAGAGGAAAGGAGGGTGCTGCAGCTCAGCTGGGCGGGGGCGGTCCAGTTGGTGGTGGCTACCAGCTGCTCAGGGCTGCTGCCCTTGGAGACCAGCACCCAGACAGGCCATTACCCAGGCATGATGGTCCAAGCATGCCACAGGAAATGGTGCCTGTGTGCTCCCAGGGTAAAAGCCATGCACAAGCAGTTCTGCTCGCCCCGTGATCACCCGATGTGCAGGCACACGCCATGGAAACCCCTCCATACCAGAAACAGGCCCGCCCCTTTTCCCTGCCGGGCACCCACCACACCAGCCAGCTTCCCTCATTCCCAGAAAATCTGGTAAATGAATCTTTCTGTACCTTTTAAGAACAGGGACGATCACAACTCATATTTTATTTTTAAAATATTTGAAAAATTTTACAAAGTCACTGATGAGACCTTGCAGGGCTCCTGAGCCTTGGCATTGCTGGCATCTGAAGCCCGACCGTGCTCCTGTGGGCGGGTGGCTTGTTGGGAGCATCACGGCAGGTTTAGCAGCGTCCCTGGCCGCCACCCACTGTGCGCCGTAGCAGCCCCTCCCTCCCACACGGCTGTGAGAGTCTAAGGTGACTCCAGACCATGACAGTGCTTGGAGGCACAGTGGTCCCCCGCTGAAGACCACAGCTCTGGGCGCCCCAACAGAAAACCCCCAGCATGGCTCCAACTCAGGTCACACACAGCCGGCCTGAGCAGCTCTCCTGCTCCAGGTCTCAGGGCACTGCTGGCCAGGTGGGAGCCGGAGTCTAGGCTTCAGGAAAGCTGACCCTCGGCTGGAGCCCCAGGGTTCTGGGTTATGCTCATCAGGTGGGCGGCCGTGAAGAACGAGGCTTCGTGCGAACTCTGGGGGACAGGAGCCCACCTGCAAGCTGCACGGCAACAGCTGCCGACGCTGCCCTCCGGGCGGCTGGCATCGGAGTGCTCCCTCCACCCGCCTCTTCTCAAGTGCGACCCTGACGCTTCCCTGCCACTTCCCCATACGTTAGAGAAAACCCTTACCTGCCTGAAATTTTGTTTTAAGGTATTTCGAAGCAACCACTACTGTTTTTTTCACTCATGGAAATAATGCCACTTTATTCCCCGGAGGTGCAGTGTATCTGTACAGCCCACAGTTTGGGCAGATCAGCACCAACTGACTCACAGGGTCAGTCTCTTAAGCTCCAAGGTCATCTGCCAAAAAGTGGTCCATGGTCCAAAAGCTCTGGGCATTCCCCCAATACTCTGCCTGCAGTCCAAGTTCTTCTTGAGGCTTCTTTCTTTCCTGGCGTCACTAGCACAGCTCTCCTTTTGCCCTAGCAGCGCATGAAATAATACCCAAGCAGCATCCAGGGTGCTGGGAGACCAAAATGTCCTTCAAGGTGTCAGTTCTCATGGCGCCATGGCTCTTGGGATGCAGCGTGTGTGCTGCATTTGCACCCACAAAGGCATCCCCCGTAGCCACCCTCTTTGTGCTTGTGCAACGGAGCTGAAGGGAAGAATGAATTGTGCTGGACTCCAGTTAGGCCTAAAGAAAGGTTTCCTGACCAGAATAATTGGTCTTCAAGGAAAGCCCAGCCCAGCCTGATTATAACCCAGGGACATCTGAGGCTCCTTCTCTAATTGGTAGTCTTTGCGGGACTTCAGAACAGGTCAGCCAGGCAGGGGGAGGACAAGTAAACCTCACGGCTCTTCGCAGGCCCACTCCCACCCCAGAGCTACTGCAGAAACGACAGCTAAGTCGGGCTACCACACAGCAGGAGCACTGGGTTACCTCCACGCCTGCTTCCTTTCCTCAAGGGAAATGGGGTCCAAGTGAAATCAGTGCCCCTGACCCCACTGCCAGCAAGTCCCGTCACCCCACTGGCATGCACCTCCACTTCAGTCACCTCAAACCGCTCTGGACCGCAGGTGTTTCTATGGCAAAAACTGTCTGTAGCCCATCTACACTGTTTAAATATGCTCACAGGAAGAATGAGAAAGATGAAAATTCTTTTCAAGGAACCAATGAGGTGATAGTCAATAAAGAACTAGGTGTCATACTTATTAATTCCATACCTAGATGTCATACTCATTAATTTCTCCCAGAAATAAAACAGGGAAAGCATCAAAACACAAAAATTAGGATGCACATACAGAAATGGACCCACCTGTGGCCTATTCCCCTATGAGCTGTACTAACCACCCTAAAGTCCAAGCGCACACAGTCTCTGAGGTCCTTGTGGGAGACAGTCATCTCTGCTCACACTCCCAGAACCCGCTTTCACCCTTGAAGCAAAGAAATGAACTCTGGGTGGGATGGGACCAATTTATTTTACATGGTGAGACTAGATTTTCTAGGATAATCTCAATTTTAAAATGCTGTCCAAATGAATGCACACACACTCCCATACTCAAGTGGAACCAGAAAAGGTGCTCAAACCCTCCACCTTCAACCCTTTATAAAGCTCGGAATTTGGTCATACCTCAGATTAGTTAGGAGACCAATCTTCTTCAGAGAAGAAAATCAGGATACAAACTGGGTAAAGGAAGAAAAGCCAGAACATTCTACCTGGCTGGTTTTGGGGTTTGCCTCTGGACCAAGAGCAATAAACAGTTGTCCAGCCCAGGGAGCAGGAAGCAAGCCAGGGGGTGGCAGGGCAGGAAGGGGCCTGAGAGTGCTGGCTTAGAGGCCAGAGGAACTGTGACAAGCAGGCAGCTTCTGCAGGTCAACTGGATGCGCAAGAGCAGTCACAGCAACGGGGCAGCCTTAGGACCCCAGCAGGTGAATGCACGCACGCTTGACTTCCACACACACGACCAGGGCCGGCCCCCCACCGCCCCGGCAGGTCGCAGCCTGCTCCACCTCTAATCAGGAGCGCTACGGCCAAGGTCAACCCCTATTAGCCTTGGACAGAAGGACTTCCTCACGATTTACTCTCACCCATGACCACCGAAAATGCCTCAAACCTAAGGTCTGGGTTTTAAGGGTCATCTCTATAAGTTGCCACGTGTTCTTTTAAAATTCCAGGCTCCAAAAGAGAAGTCCAAGTGGGAGCACACAGATGCTATGCTCGCAGATGATGCAAATGCAGCCCCAGTGAAGTGGCCTGGAAAAGACAGAGATGGGGCGTGGGCGGAACAGGACACTCACCATCTCGTCCAGGGCGTAGCGCAGGAGGCCATGCTCGTACAGGATGAAGAACCGCCGCTGCCATTTCTGCAAAGGAACCCGGAGTGGGTGTTTAGGAGGGTTCTGGCCCTTGATCTCCATGTGCTAGGTCCCCGAGGCTGACAAACCTGTATCTAAAGAATGCTGCTTCCACAGCTTTCATTTCTGAGCCAGGTGGCAGGAACAGAGGGACCCAAGGCAGAAGCACGGTGATTTATTTGCCAGGATTGAGCCAAAGGAGAAGCCCAAGCCATGCAGCATGTTTCCACACGAGTTACTAAGATTTAACAACATGCCTGGTTTATTGTGATTTACAAGCTCCTCAGGAGAAGAGATGTCTTGGTCCCCTTTTTGTATTCTTTACATACCCAGCACAGAGCTTACAACATAATATGTATCAATATTTATTTGATGACTTATCTGACATGATATGGAATACCCTGAGAATTGCAAGCACTGATTCCCTACTCCTGAAAAAATCTAGAAAACTGCTATAAAAGGTGGTTTTGGTGATGTATGGGGAAGAAAGGCAGCCCAGCTCTCATAATCCCTGAGAACTGAGCTAATGAAAATCAAAACTGAGGAGGTGCGCGACCAGTGGGAACAACTCCGATGTCCAGGGAGTATGTGGCTGACAGGGTGCCCTCTCTCTGCTCTCCAGTCAAAGGCCAGACACCGGGGGCCAATGGTGGTCCAACAGCACTGACAGCAGAATGAAGAAGATCATGAGAGTATGTGCCTTCCTCACGAGGATCTCATGACCTATTTTCACCATTTCAAAAAGCTCAACATAATTCATAGTTTTACTGGCAATAAGGGCACAAGAACATCCTAAAATATCATGTCTCTTTGCTTTGGGCCAGAATTACATCATTTATACTCATGATTTTCCCCTCAGGAGCTGGGAATGGCAATTCTGTGTGACCTACATATAAACGGGAAAGGGGGCTGCCCGCGGGTCTCTGCAGCGCTGTAACAGAGTCCTCCTGCCTGAGTGGCAGACACGGGACCCTCAAGAAGCCTTACAAAGAGGACCTGCAGAGGGCTGGCTCCACACTGGGTGTCTGGGGGGGGAACTTCCTAGGAAACATTTCCGAGGCTCCTGTTGGTAGCCTTTAAAGACAAAGCTCATTCTAGAAGGAATCCCAAAGGACCAGACACAAGGTTGGTGGGGCACCCTCTGCCCCACCCCCCGAGAGGGCAGCGTTCTGGCAGCAGCAGCAGAGACCAAGAGGCAGGTCAGAGGCTCTCTGGGCCACGCAGGGGACAGGAAGGGAGCAGAGCTGCAGCAACGTGTAGGGTACAGGCCGCAGCACCTGGAAAAGGGCATCATTTTCATTGGAGTCGAATCCAAAGGGGATCCCTAGCAGAGGAATAAACCACTGGTCAGGGACAAGGCTGGCAGCCTGTGCACAGCAGGACCCGCACTGGGCTGGAGTGCCCAGGAGAGTGGGAGCAAAAAGCCAAAGTTGGTCCTTGAGACCCTCATCCCTTCCCTAGCGCTCATTTGCTGAGCCCCTAGCTGGGGAACGGGGGAGGGAGGGAGGGAGAGGGGAGAAGGAAGGAAGGGAAAGAGGGAGCTGCAGGAGGCAGGGCCTTGGCACTGAAGGAACTGGGAGCCTAAATAGCAAAATTGCAAACATTTGCTGAACTGCCCTTTTGCCTTTTCCATTTAACTATTTCTAGAGTCAAGCTGAGCCATGAAACAGGCAGCACCATGTCAGGGCTTAGTCTGAATGGAGCACCAGGTGTAACTAGGTGTGACTGAGACTCTTCTTAACTAGGTGTAAATTTTCCCGGGGTTCTACAAGTTTTCCAAATTGTGGGGAGGGGGGGGATCCTACAATTCAGCAGCCACTGTCAACTCCCCATCTCTTTCTTCCTTTCTGTCAATGTGCCCTCAGGGGAGCCCCTCTCTGGTCCCTCCCACCCCCGGACTTCACTGGTTCCCTTACCCGAGATCGATGCACTGGGTTGTCAAAGTCAGTCCCATCTGGAGCCAGGAGCAGCCAGCCACCGTAAATGGGTTTTGCCTGGAGAAGAAAAGGGCAGGTCGTCAGCGGCCTTGGACCAGAGAGAAAGAACAGGTTTCAACAGTCAAATTAATGAGAAACACTTGCTAGAAGCAGAAGTCACCTCTGCCTAGCACATTCCACACATCTGATCCCCCGGCCACGGGCTGAGTCTCCAAGAAAGATGTGTGACCACAAAAGGTACAGGGGGGGCCTGTCGCACCTGGTGCAGGGAGTGGAACACCCAACCCAGCGGGAAGACGAGAAACGGCAGGGCGCTGGGACTCCTGAGACACAGATGCCTCTCTCGAGTTCTGTGATTAAGCCCCCAAGATCAGAAAAAATGGCATTTTCTTCAATAACCACGTGAGTGCCTGTGTGTGCCGGGCACTAGGTGTGTCACGTGATCAACACGGTCAAAAGCTCGCATCCTGACAGTACAACACAGGGCCTGGGGGAAGAGACACTGCTCAGTGATCACAGCTAGCACCGGCCAAAGAATCTCCCAGTTACTGGTTGTATGACCTTGGGCTGAAAACCGTTTGAGTTTCAGTTCTCCCATTTGAAGGTGGGGCTGGATAATAATTACATCTACACCTCATGAAACTTATATGAGGATGGATTAGATGCTGCCAAGGAATGTGAATGGCGTAGCCACTGTGGCAGTTGCTCAAAAGGTTAAACATAGAATTCCATACACCCCAGAATTCCACTCCTAGCGATATGCACTCGAGAAAACTTAAAAGCAGGTGCTCAAATAAAAACTTGGACATGAATGTTCACAGCAGCACTATAGACAATGACCAAAAGGTAGAACAACTTAATGACCGTCGACAGATGAATGGATATACTGTGGCACATCATACGACGGAATATTGTTCAGCAGTAAGAAGGGATGAGTATGGACACACACTACCACATGGGTGGACCTTGAAGATGTTATGCTGAGTGAGAGACGACAGGCAGAAAAGCCCACATATAGCGTGATTCCCCTTATACGAATAGGTAAATCCACAGAAACAGAAAGAGGATTAGCGGTTGTCAGGACATGGAGGGAACAGGAGATGGGGAGTGAAACCTAACAGGGATGGGGGTTCTTTCTGGGGTGATGAAAAGGTTCTGGAGTGAGATGGTGGAGATGGTTGCATGAACTTATGAATATGCTAAAAACTACTGAACTGTACACTTTAATTGGATGCATTTTATGGTATGTAAATTGTATCTCAAAAAAAAAAACAACAAACAAACAACCCAGAAAAAAATACTGAGCATAGTGTTTTAACAAATGTTAGCTACTATTATACTTTCATATTCAGTGAGTCCCTCTCATCCAAGACCTGGCAGTAGGAGCTCAACATGAATGAAAAGACCCAGACAGACACTCTGGCTCCCCTTCCTTTCGCAGTCACACCCAGCTGGTGGGAAGGGGCTGGAAAAGCCATAAGCAGGCCTATCTGCCCACTACCCTTTGGCGGGCAGTAACACAAGTGAAAACCCAGCTCCCCACCTGATGCACAAGGCCTGATCCCTGTGTAAGCCTGAGGGGTGCTCCTGTTACACCACTTCATTTTGTAGCTATGGGATCTGCAACTCAGAGAGGGAAGGTCACTTGCCAGAGGTCACACAGTATCTGGATACGCAAAGAACGCTGTTCTCATGGCTTTTGCAGGGCCCTCAAGGACCCCAGGGGAAGCACACTGGCTGTCCCCATGCGCGTGAACAGAGCAGGTAAGAGGGGCCGTGGGCAAGGGATGTGGGGTGGGCCGAAGGGAGGGAGGGAGAGGCTGGCTCTGATGGCACAAGGGAGCACGCGCTGGTAGGAAGCCAGGGGCTCGCTGAGAGGGGCACAACTCAGGGGAGCCGTGACCTAAGTGCGGAATAAAACTCCGCCTGGGAAAGCAGCAGCGAAGAGAGTAGAGGCCTGTTCTTTCAGCGAATGCCAGCGGCACACAGCCATCCCCAGGCAAGCAAGCACACTCGGCCTCTCCCCAACATCACCGGGGACAGGCACGCCTGGCAGACTTCACAAAAGCCTGCACAGAGCCCTGGGGGTGGGCATCCTGGACCAGGTGAACCCCCACTTTGCTTAGAAACCGACAGTTCCCCAAACTGTAAAATAGGGAGGGTAGACCCCAGGCACATCTCCTCCATTTCTTTTTAGCTTTCATTATACACCACCCTCCAGTCTCTGGCTGCAGTGCTTTGCGGCAACTTCACATTATCAGCTCTATCTACCTGACCTGTTCCTAAAGGGACAGCGGGAGACCCAAGGGACTCGCACGAGTCTCCTCAGAACCCAGCCACTGCCTCACCCCAGCCCACCACGAGCATCCTTCACTCAACAAATATCTACTCAGGCCTACTGTGTGCACAGCCCCATGACCTGCCGGCACCTACCTTGCTTGGCCATGACTTCCTTCAAGATCACCCCGAAGGGCACCCCTTCCAGGATGCAGGTTGTCCTGAAAGATGGGCAGGCTGGGCCAATGGAGGGCACAGGGCAAGAAAGAAATGCTTGGGAGATGGGGCAGGCTGGGAAGTAGGGAACATTCCATTAAGAACATTTACCAAGGAAAATTCATAGTGACAAGAGGCAGGTGAGTGGCTGCTCGTGGCCCGGGGATGGAAGGACGGGGGGTGACAGATAAGAGGTACGAGGTTTCTTCAGAGATGAGTACGTTTTAAATTGATTGTGGTGGTGGCTGCAAAACTCTGGGAATATACTGAAAATCATCAAATTGTACACTTTAATTAGGTCAATTGTAGGGTATGTGAATGTTATCTTAATAAACCTGTTAAAATAATTTACCAAGGCAATGGGTCAGGCAATGGGGAAACAGAGATAAATAGGAAATTGTTCCTATCTTCATGGGTTCACAGTCCAAAAGAAATGTAAACTAATGGAGCCTCTTCCCACGCCTAAGAAGATAGTATGGGGAAGGGCCAGGGAGCAGGTCACTTTGTAAGTTTTCAAGTGACTCGGCTCTACCTCCCCACCCCTACCTCCAAGCCAAATTTGGGAAACTTCATTCAAAGAGACAGGGACAAAGGTTTCAAAGGTCAATAACCTGGCCCTTTGGTTTGTAGGAAGGGAGGTAGAACGGGCCAGACACAGAGGGTGTAGGGGGAGCAAGAGGCAGCAGGCACAGGCCTGACAGACTAGGGGTGAAACAGGAAGCACCTCAAGGGTTGACTTGGTGCCTGTAGCTGAATGACAGCAGGAACCACCAGGTGTCCGCTGTGCAACTCTGGGGTCGCTCGGAGATGGCAAGGTACCTGCCGCCCTGCACGCCCATCCAAAGTGAGGAAACTGGGCAGAGGGTGGGGTGCAGAAATGACCATGAAGGAGGCGAGCCCGTCCCTGCCCCCCCAACACACACACACACACGTGCGCACGCGTGAGGACAGCCTGGGGAACAGAGGACTCTCTGGGCACAGGCAGAGCAGTAGGAGAAGTGGGGAAGGTGAGGAAGAGCCAAGGTAACAGCGGAGCAGCTCACGCTGTTTCGTTCTTAAGACTCCTCGGCGCCCCTTACTGAGAACATCCCGACTCTGAAACCCAGTCCAGAGGCCTGAAAAGTGAAGCACCAGGATACCCAACTCGCAGAGCTGCCTCTCCCTTAGCTACTCTGCCATCCTGACCTGGCCACCTGGCCCAGGAAGTACTGCAGCTTCTCCCAATATTTCTCAGACTATCTCAAAATGCCACCATCAGACCCAGGTGTGTCAGTACGTCCAGATGCACCCAGCAGAGCCACTGTCACAAGTGGCTTTGTGGGGCAGCAGTCCTCCCTCTCAATCCTTACTTTCTTTCCTGGGGCATGACTTCCAATAGGCCAGAAGGCCTTCTCTTCCTGAGACCCTGTGATAACCTGAAATGCAACTGTGAAACAGACAAACCAAGGAAGCTGGCACACAGGAGTATGCTCTAGAAACTCTTCGTGCTATACTAGCTAGTTTTTTTGTTTACTGGCTTGTTTTTGTTTGTTTGTGTTTTGGAGGGGGTGGTGTGCAGGAGAAGCAGCAATCTGCTGTTGATACTGAGGATCCAAACTGCGCAGTAAGGACCCAAAGGCTGGGGCTGAGTTCTGTTTCAGACAGGCTGCCCTGGAGAAAGCACGATGGCCTACACCCCATGTAAAAGTTACCATGTGAAAGCACCCCCTCACCTGCTTCTCTTCCAGGTAAGCCCAGCCTTCCTCCACAGACCAAGTAACACAGAGGCTGGTCCCTGGGAGGAGGCTGCTGGTGGTCTGCGCTGACTCCTCAACCCAAAGCCCTTCAGAATATGATTCCCTGAGACTTCTGCTTCCTGGAAGATGGGGCAGATGTAATTTTCCCTATTCCTTCTAAGTACAAATAAAACCCTGGACACTATATACAAGACAAACCAGAGAAGGCTCTGCAAAATGAAGAGCAGGCAGGCAGGATGGAGACACTTCAGGACCCAAGAAACGACAAGGAGGAGAGTGACTCTGGGTTTTCTTTTTGTCTCACTGTCCCAGACAGGGGACCAGAGGAGTAGGCAACCTGGACATGCCAACGGGCACAGACCACAAAACAAAAGCTTGTTCTCTCAAGCCAAGGAGCCAGAGAAGAGACAGCCTGGCAAGACTGAAAACTCTTAGACAATAACCACCCTCCTCCAGAGAGACACCACAGAAAAGATACAGCCTGACCCCACCACGACAGCCAAGGCTTGCCTCCCACCTTGCCTGCCAGCTGAGAGGAGTCCCAGCACCCCTGCCAGAGAAGTGTGAGGAAGCCAGGCAGAGAGCTAGGACTTCCGTCCCCACCCAGCAGCAACAAGGCCCCTCCCTGTCCCTGTTGGGACAATGTCAGAGGAGGACTTACGGGGAGCTGAACTCCCCCTCCACCCCTACAGTAACAAGGCACCTCCCACCTGAGGTGTCAGTGGAGGCCAAGATGCGGGGGCTGAGCTTCCACTTAAAAATAAAAAAGGCAGTGGCTCCCTTCCCGGGCTGAAGTAGTATCAGAAAAATCGAACTGAAAGAGAAGGG